ACGTGTGCTCTTCCGATGGAACTCCCCATTTTTCATTGCATATTCTTGTAGCTTATTTCGAGAGCTTTCCAAAACATATAGATAAAATGTTTTTTAGTTAAGTAAATCTCGAGTTATAAAGCTTGAAAGTTACAGTTCCACCGACATTAGCATTATCCAAAATATCCAAACAATGGCTGAAATCTTTTGAATGTTGTTCAGGATTATAAGCTTGACAACATATGTCAAAGTCATGATTATTGGAAAATGTTTTTCTTTTTTCAAAAAATAAAAATAATTTTCAAAAATGAAAATAAGAGAAACAATCTTCAATGATCATGGCCTTGACACATGTTGTCAAGTTTATAATTTTGAACATTCAAAAGATTTCAGCCATTGTTCGGACACCTTAGATAATGCTAAGCCGGTGGTACTGTAATTTTCAAGCTTTATAACTCGAGATTTACTTAACTAATAAACCTTTTATCTATGTGTTTTGGAAAGCTCTCGAAATAAGCTACAAGAATGTGCAATGAAAATGGGAGTTCCATTTAAAAGATTCAAAGTGATCTTGACGACGCCACTCAGGGTCAAACCAATGTTATCATCTTATGTCCCTCTCTAAGTCCCAAAACTTTTGTCTAAAATATTTTTCCCTAAAATGCACTGTTCAAGAGATATTTGAGGTGATCGATTAAAATGGGACACCCTGTATATATAATAACTATTATTCATTTCTATAATTAAAATTTGGAGAGCACGTACGATATTGTACATTATATATATATGTATAGTAAGTAAATTGATGATTCCTAATATGAAAGAAAAGAATAAAGAGATAGGGATATATACGTACTTACACAATTAAAAAAAAAGACTCAAATAAAAAGTGATAGAAAATAATTAGTATCACAATACAATTTAAAATTTCATTGCCATAAGAGAATATTGAAAATCAAGTAATCATAAGGAAATTCGAGAGTTGTAACGAACATATCACTTATGTAACATATGTAACTCACTTTTCTGTATTATCAGATTTGTGTACCAAAGCTTCCAATGCTTCCTCGCTACTATTGGATAACTGCGACATACCAGAAAGACTGGAAGAGGACATGAGCTCTTTTGAACGCTTCCCTTTCAATCTTCCTGTTACATTGGAATACTTTCTTTGGGATATCATGATTTATCTGAAATAAAACAAAAAACTTTTTATGTAAAATTATAGTATTACGTGAAGAAAGAAATGACAATAACATGATAATAACATTGAAATGAGTATTCTGGCTAGAATTAAAATTCAAGAATTAATATCCACAACATGTGCGGCATCATTTCAGCTGTTTCGACAGTTATCTCAAAAACTAAACTCGAAACGAAATCTAATCTCTCTAATAACTGTATCGGGGAAGAAAAGAGGAAAAAAAGATATCAGTATAATTTGTTTTATAAAATATTAAAAAAAAATACTAAAATACTAAAATTTTTTAACAATTAAGTATCTGAATCGGCCGTGGATTGTTTCAAACAAATAAGATAAGAAAAATTCCAACATGGTATAAAGCGGATTTTGTAAATATTTATTTATAATAAAAAATAGATATGAACCGGTTTTGCTTAATAATATTTTTCGTATAAATTTAAATTGAAGAAATTAGGATCCCAAGAATAAATCAGATATACTGAAGTAATGCCTAAGTATGCGAGCCGACACGGGTGTTAGTGTGTGTAATAATTTTTATTATTACAATATCCAACCACATACAAACTGCGCACCGCATTTCGGTTTTGAAACTCTGATGTGAACCTGGCTCCCAACTTTATGAAAATTAAAAATTATTAGTGCAGCACGTTTGTACTTTGTTTGTACTTATTTGTACCGCTTGTTTGTATTTTGTTTGTACCTTAAAGGAAACAAACAAAGTGATAAAGAAAAATAAGCAGCACCCAAGTAAAAGCTATTTAAATTTCAATAATGTCATTCGAAAGAGCATCGCTTGTACTTTCTTGTATCACCTTTCAAATCATTCGTACCTCAATTGGACCGGAAGTACAGGCTTTTCAAAGTACGTAAAAGAAAAATTTTGGTCAATTTTTTAAATATTCGGAAGCAACAAGCACCATTTGAAAGAGCTCGAGTAGTATCCGTTTGTACTAACTAATAAAAATGCAGTTTTAAATAAAATTATCTATTAGCAAGAAGTATGTACACGTCAAAAACATTGGTCTAATAATAAATCATAAAATTAATATTATATTATTGGCTAACTGCTTAAATTTTAACTATTGTTAAACAGTCACGCTAACTCCCGTATAAGATTGACAGTCTTTTTCTTTTATATAGTATCTCGTCGGTGTATATACATATTGGTGCCTATGTGTAGGTGCGTGCGTGCGTGCGTGCGTGCGTGCGTGCGGCATCGTGCGTACGCGCGCGCGCGCAGATATGCGTATTGATTTAACATCAACATTGCTTTAATCAAGTAGATTTGTAGTATTTGTATTTCTTAAAGTATATTTTATAAAAGGAATTAGAAAAAAAGGAGAAATAATATATAAAATATATAATAATATATGTAGGTATATAAAAATATATAATTTAAGAGTTTAAGAGTGATATTATATTTTTATATATATTACTTTTTTCTCTTATAATTTCTTTTAAAAATTTATTTAAGAAATAAATTTATCCACAATTACTGATACATAAAATTTGATTACTAATTATTGATAATTACTGATACATAAATTGATTTTCAATTCCTGCAATCAATTTTAACTGCAATATACATAAGTTAATTATGTGGAGTCTATTTAACATAATTGTGCTTACAATACGCAATATACATATGGCACCGTCAATGTTTTTTACTTTCGAATTATTTTTACATCAAAGAGTCTAACTAAAGCGTCGTCCAAACTAAACAAAACATTATCGTAAACATGTTTACCGATAGTGTATCCTAAAATTTAATTTTAAATCCAACAAATTTCGGGATTACATTTATATCGATAACATTTTGTCGGATACATTTTTACATACATTGTTATCGACAAATATTAAAAATATATTATAACTTGAAAGTGATAATATTGCATATATTGATGACAATATTGTTTATTATGTTTTCGATATTGAAGCAGTAAAGCAATGTCAACAACTTATAATGTCATCGACATATAAATGCACGTGAAATTTTTATTGACTGTAATTGTGGTACGTTTAGTTGTTGAGCAAGTATTTATCTGTACAATTCTTTTGTAAAATTATTATAATTTTTATGATAAAATAAATAAAATGTTACAAATAATCTAATTACGGCTCGTAATTGTAAAAACAAATAATAAAAAGTAAAATTAAAAGGTTAAAAACAAGCAAATTAATGGATGTTCTAATAAATATATTTCTAATTACATATTAAGATGTATATATATATATATATATATATATATACATCTTATATATTACGTATATATATGTATATATACATATACACATCATTAACTAGTCTTCATCAACCGCCAACTATTAGCAAGAAGTAAAGTATATGTACACGTCAAAAAACATTGGTCTAATAATAAATCATAAAATTAATATTATATTATTGGCTAACTGCTTAAATTTTAGTTATTATTAAACAGCTACGCTAACGTACTTCCATTATTAAATTAATTAATAAATACGTGATTACATCCCTTAAGGTGGTTCTTTAGTAAAGTGTCGAAAATTTGGAGTGCCTCAACAGAGCCTACTCAAAATCACAGATTTGTATAATTTGGATAAAATGTTAAAACTACGTGTATATCTAATGAAATAATATGAAACAAACGATACTGCTACTCTGCGTGACAATGAACGAAAAAAGTGAGAGTTCAATGTAGATTGCTAGCAAGGTTATGCAATATTTTACCATTTCAACATTAAATATCTTTCTAGAATGACCTATTACTTTTTTGTGACCATTAAAACCGTAATTTTTTTAAACTATTAATCTCGTTTTTTAGAAATCTTAAATAACATTTGTGTGCAGTCAACGTTCAATCAAAGAAACGTCTCCGAGCCAAATCTGTTACAAATAATCTAAATACGGTAGTAATCTAATAAATATATTTCTAATTACATATACTAATATGTACGTAAGTTATACGTAAAAAGTTTCATTTTCAACATTTTTTCTCTCTTTCATCAATAAATAACTTATCCTAAAATTTTGCACACGTCAAGTTCGGCACTTCAACTTCATTACATAAAAAATTTGGACATTTCTAAAATAACTCGATTTACTAAAGAATTACCTTAATAAATAATAAATAAATAAAACACGAAGTACTAATGTAAGTCATCATGCATGCATTCTATCGATAAAAAATAAAATAATCATAAATAAAACGAATGACGATTTGTAACTTGATTCGATCCATATGTATTCAATATTAGGTATGGTCTTTCGCATGGTCTTTCACATGTCAATTTTCCGTCTATAATGAGTCCATTATACACATATATTGTCCATATTGATATTGAGATTTATACATTGAAATTTACAATAACAATAATTATTCTATAATTATAGAATAAAGGCAAGTTCGGAATATATTTATAATTACTTTCGCACTGTCATAACGACTATCAGATTGAATGTTGAATGGAAAATAAAATGTGCTATTATTATGCACGCGCGTAAAATTTATAGAGCTTACAAATATAAATCGGTATTATAAAGTCCTATATATTCTAATTATATTGATATTCTGAATTAGATCGTAAAACGATTCGCCATGTTAATTTTAATCGATATTCGCTTCGAAATTTCATTAACTATTCGCGGGTTTAGGGTAACTAAAAACGTTAAAATGTAACTTTGTTTAAAGTTAATGTAACTGAACAATGGTTTTTTTTCATTTTAAAAGTCAAAATCCGAAGAATAAGATTGTGTAACTTAAAACTATGTAAAGTTGTAAAAATCAATTGTTAAACAATTTTTCACTAATCTGAAGATTTGATGCGTAATTAAAAAAATCTGGATCCTCGTGGACCTGCGAATACCGACTAACAATAAGATCAAAATGTACTATTGTAATGTCATAAACATTTAAAAAAAAATGATAGCAAAAAATAGTCGACACTACTTGTGAGATACATTGTCGGATATAAATAAAGTAATGAAGACTAATTACTTTTCATAGTAGTATGTAGTAGTAAAATTTTGTCATCTACATTTGTTATCTACAAAAATGTCGATGACAATATTTCTTAATCTGGACGGAAGTTAAGATATTGTTTAGACATGATTAATTAAGAAATATAAAATTATATATTTTTATTGATTAATTTAGCACAATTTTATTTTTGTTATTGTCTGTCATTCATTTTTTTTAATTTTCCACACGTGAAAAGTACGTGACAAGCATCTAAAGATGTTAATCGCAATTCTCGATTATGACATACGAGAGCCTGTAGGTATGCGTTCGACCTAGAAATGCCTAAATCGGAAATAGGAGGAATTAATGAGTTTCTCCTTTCGCGATCGATCTCGTTAGCTTGAATACTAAGCTAACCATTAAGCTACCATTAAGCTTTACATATTCCATCAATCAATCAACAATATTGGATGTGCTTCTTTTCCGAGATAATCCTTTACTCTCACACTCAAAGTTCCAACCAATGTCGTGCGGGTGTGCATTTGCGTTTGCATGCCGTGCGTGTTTGCGTGTGTACAGGATGTCTAATAATAGACGCATTTGGTGAACAGATGAACACGAACATTCTTTATTACAAAGTGGGTTTTAAAACGATAAATCTAAATTTATCGGAAAACCGCAAAGATAAAATAAGATGAAATTACGATCATCCAGAAATAAAAACATACAAAGTGAAATGATATAATTACATTTGAAATAGTTTTTGATGTATTCATATATTATATTTTTTTAGAATACATATACGAAACGATGAAATGAATTAATTTCCATCAACTTTGTCACAAAAAATTAGTTTTCTTTTTCACGCAGTTTGAAAAAAAGAGATTACAAAAGTGGAAGAATAAACAACTCTCTCGTCGGCCTTGGATGCAATTTACAATGTGCACACGATAATTAACGGTAACAGTAATATTTCATGTACTTTCTGTTTCTGTCTAATTAAAATCTATATATTCTATGGAAAGTCAAAATCATATCATAAACATGAATAAAATAACTTCATTATTCCATCTATTTTATTATTATTGCTATCAGCGTAATTTTTCACAACTTATATATTAATATTAAGTTTCCAAAAATCTTACCACATTCTACAAAATATGTATAATTTTTTCAATGCATTCATATGCTGATGTGTTTATTTGTTTATTTATGCATTTGTATTTGTTATTTATGTAAGGTGTCTCATTTTTAAAACCAACTTAACATCTCGAAAGCTGATAGCGAATTCGATTGAATGCACTAATGTACACTGATCAGTACACATTAATGCCGTTGTACACTTCTGTTCTAATCTCAATGTAAAAGTAAAATATCTCAAATAATAAAATGCTCATCCATATTTTACCAAATAAAATAATAAAGTACTAAAATTTCGCGATTTAACCGTTTTTAAATTTATATTAAACATGCATCTTTATATTGACTTGTGTACAATGGTTTTATGTGATCTGAGTGTGCACTAATACTTATAGTGTGTCCAACCGAAATCGCTGAGTCGAGTAGCCAAAAATATTTCAAACAAAAGTTGTACGGTCTAAAGAAAGACAAATAATAGTAAAATCAATTTATGAAAAAATTGATTTTACTATTATTAAAATTGAATTTTCAAGGTTGCATGAAGATTATATCGTCAATTTTCTAAATTACAATTTTTTTAAATATAATTCTTCTAGTTAATTATTCTCTTATACAAAAGTATTAAAATTAATGAAAAATCAATAGTTTACGAAATATTTTACATTTTATTCTGGCATATTTTAACATCAAATATAAAATATCCCGTAAACTAGCAATCATTTTTTTTATAATCATACCTTAATACTTTTATGCACAAAATAATAAAATAAATCAATAGGTATAAAGAAAATATAATATTATTGCTTTTCCAAAAAGGTATGTAATTGCATATTGTAAATTGTATAATTTATATGTTTAAATCCACATGGACAAAAAATCAAGATAAGTAACGTATTATTTAATAATCATAATATTTTTATGACAAATTAACGTTAAATTTTAAACGTAGTTTTAATAATTTCTCTTTGATTTAAAAATAGCTGCTTTGGCTTTCACGCTTTCTGATTTCGAACGCAATAATGCAACGCAAGCATTAATCAATGGTAAGAAAATCTTTTTCGAATTATTAATAAATTAAGTTTAAGAAGGCAAATTGTCATACTGTCGCCTTTTAAATTTATTCTGTATTGTACTTAAAAGTTTAAAAATACTCGCTTTTACATGTATTTTGATCGCTGTGAAAGTCGAAAATTAAGAAATATGAATTTGTTGTATAAAATACATGAGGTAATAATTAACGAACAAATTGATTTTGTAAGGTTTACTTTATGTGTGCTTCCTTAACGCGAACTGAAGTAGGAATTTTAAAAAAGAAATCGATGTGCAAGCGCATTATCTACATTAGTATCGCTCGCGTGTGAAACCTCGAAAACCAAGTTAGGATCGGAAGATAAGAGAAAGTGTAACACGAAAGTAAATGGAATATTTTTCAATGACAGACTCGACAATTATTATGAGGCTTAAACATATTAAACTATAATCTGTTTATGCAGTAATTTCGACGAAAGAGATTAAAGAGGAGACCTATTCAAACAAACTTGCATACTTCCATAACTATATACGAACTGTAAAGAAAATTATCCAATCGCATTTTATGTGTCTTGTAATAGAAATGCGATTAGATAATTTTTTTTAATGCATATAATTATGCAACTATGCAAGTTTATCTGGATAGAACCTTAAGGTCTATACGTCATCCTAACAAATTAATTGTTATGTCGTACAAACTGCGGCCGTTAGCAACACTATCGAATTGGAGAACAAGGCGCCTAGTGTCATATTGACAGGACGACTTGACATAATCACCGCCGACCGCATGTTTGTCAAAAATATTGAATAATCAGCAAGAAATCGAGACTCACCGCGATTCGTTGAGATAGTGACTTATTGTCCGTCAATTTTATATTTGGTGAACCGACGGCGCATTGCGATAACCATGACTTTATTTTACAACACTTGCAGACGCAAATTGCAGCCGGCACTAATCGTAGCCATACTGTAGAAGAGCGCAACGAGTACTACCTACGCGGCCTATGTCTAGTCCTACATTGCCTACCTCTGTCAATCGAATGCTAAATGTCCGCGTACAGTCTCTGACAAAAGCACCGGCGTAGTCATATATGTTCTGTGGTAGTCATGTGACCATAGATATAGCACAGTATAACAGTAGGTCCACTCAGCGAAAAACTGAGTCTTCGCGCAGGTATCGCCGCGCAACTTTTGTTTTGGGTTGGATCCAATGAAATGTAAGACGATAGGAACGTACATACATATGTGC